AAACTGCCCAACTGTGTTGCACTCCCCAGGGCAGCCACGCTGTACACATTTCCGGTGTACACAAGTCGCCGGTTGTTGAGTCTGTACCTGTGGAAGTAAACTGACGCGTTGGGAAGCATACCACCTGTGTGTTAATGTTGTATATGTCCACCATTTGCACCATATTAAATGGCTTCTTAGACCCTAACCATTGCAACTAATAGACACCAGGCTATGAGTGGTCTTACCTTTTTTAACAATGGTAAAGTATCCACATTGGTTTGATGACCGTATTTAAAACATTTATTCTAGAGCGCTATGCCTAACCGTGAGAACAAATTGTCCGCTTTCTGTATCTACCCAACCTCCGCCCCTGTATCTCCCCAATCTCCGTCTCTGTACCTCCCCATCCTCCGACCTCCGTACCTTCCCAACCCCGACCGCCGGCCGTGTACCTCCCCAACCTTGACCTCCGTCCCTGTACCTCCCAAACCTCAGCCTCAGTACCTCCCCAACCTCAAACCTCCGTCCCTGTATCCACCCCCGTTTCACCGACCCCCAGGTAAGTACAGTAAACCAGTTCCCCACCACTACAAGTTTGACAGCCTCTAGACTACCCGACCAGTACACCCGTACCATTCCTACAGTGGCTACGTTAAAGCAGATCCACCCCACATCCCACCCCCACCTGTTTTAAGGAGCTTGCCTACACAGCGCCTTAGAGTCCTCATCCCCCATCATTTTGACAGCCCGCACCCCTGCCCCACCCCCGCCCCCACCAGTACATACAGACACTACCTACATGGGTTTCGGTGCAGTTGTTCCCCATCCCCTGTTGCACACAACAACAGGTAAGATGTAATCGACCGCTCCGCTCTGTCACGTCAATATCTAGCCCCACCAGGCAACATCTGGCGCCACAGACAAGGCTCCCACCTCCTGCCTATAGAAAATGTCTTAATGATTCGTTCTTGTTCAGCAGTATGAGTGCTTCAGAATTGAGGTTAGGCGATAGGGATCTTGCTCATTATCTGGACATGGCCGCTGTTCTCCATGTCACAATGGCGACACCAAAGGTAGGTTTGTAGAAATACTCAACAACAAACTTAATTACCGTTATTGACTGAATCACCTACCTGATCAGATTATAAGCAAGCTGATCGTGTTTGTTTGAGGATGACAGTACGTGATGTTCCACATAGTGCAATAGTTAAAATAGTGAAGTATCATCGGTTCCTCCAAATACATGTGAACAGTGCTTGTGCTGCACTATAACCCTCAGATAGAATAATATACAATCTGTACTAAGCAATGTCATTTAATTTCAAATTGATACCAAAGAAAATCCATTTGTTTTAAACAAAATATTTTAACGGGATGCTTTTGAAGAAACAAATTTTTTGACATGTGAAAATGAAAGCGTTCAGCATCATCTTAGATGTAAGCGTATTATCTATATATTATCAATGCAGGTATTATACAATAGCGAAACAAGGTAATATCAACAGAACTAGTGTTTATATGTCTTGTAGAAATGTTGCCTGGTAAATATTACTTTAGTGGGGACACTACTGACATTTTCACACTAAGGAAACCCTTTGATGGCAGGAATTATTGTTTTGATCGATCTGTGAGGCTGACGACAGGTGGAGTAACTCCGAGTAACATGGATACCGACGAGAACAGCTAAGGGGCTTCGGATGAAGAACGTGTTTAAGATGCTGTTCCAAGGTAGATCCTTGGTTTTTACTGGCATGGCGAACTACCAAGTAGACCGGACGTCCTGGCTTCTTATTGATTTGCACACTGGTACATTTGTGACAGCGTGGGGGGCGAACATTAGCGTTCACTTGACCAGTTCTCACCTGGATATGAACAATCATTGTGTCCCGCTGAATCTTCGTCTGACGCAGTTTTATACCTGCCTCAATATATTTTTTATTCAACCGTTAATAGGAACAATAAACGAACGCGCCTTCTTTAAGGACCACCCTGCTCACATGTTACCTCGCATGTTTTGGGGCATGTTGAAATATTGCAACTGGACAAAAGCAAAGTAGCGAAATCCAATATATCGACAGGTTACAAACAAACATTTGAAATACATAAATGTGCCACATCATTTGTTCCACCTGGAAGTGTATTAGTGCTATAGTTTAAGGTGTAGTTTATGTAACACAGACCACTATTCTCAGTTCTCTACATTTATTTTTATATCCCAATTTTCCGATATATGTTTGACAATTAACAGGATTTGGCCGATTGTATGAATTATCAATACTTTCTCCGGATTGCTGCACATCAATGCTTCGAGCCAATATCATGGGGTCCAATACAGCAACGTTACAGGGTAAAACACGCGCCTGCACCATAATGTTAGTTGTGAGAGATTAAAGCGCAGTGCATTGGTCCAACACAGCAATATTACAGGGCCCAACACAGATCTATGCAGTACCTTTCAATACAGAGAGATTATAGCAACAACGCAATTTTGGTTCGAAACACGGGACTACCACAGCAATGTTAACAGGTCTAACGAAGAATTGTTACAGGTCTAGCACGGTGATGTTAACAGGTCTACCGTTATAATGTTACAGGCCTACCACGGCTATGTTAACAGGTCTAGCATGGCAATGTTAACAGGTCTAACCCCGCACTGTTAACAGGTATAACGCAGCAATGTTAACAGGTCGAACGCAACAATGTTAACAAGTCTAACGTAGCAATGTTAACAGGTCTAGCACGCCATTGTGTACAGGTCTAACTCAGCAATATTAGCAAGTCGAATGCAGCAATGTTAACAGGTCTAACGTAGCAATGTTACAGGTCTAACGCTGCAATGTTAAGTCTACCGCGGCAATGTTACAGTGAGTGAGTGACTGAGTGAGTTAATGCTTTACGTCACATCGGCAATATTTCAGCCATATCGTGACGAGGCAATGTTACAGGTCTAGCACGGCAATGTTAACAGGTCAAACAGCAATGCCCTTGTATCCAACACAGGACTGCGTCATATTGTTCAGAGAGATGTAAACAGCAGTGTAGAGGAGTGTGCTGTAATATTTGCCACAACATGTCTCGTCCCATAGCCGGAATGAACATATAAGGACACAAGGTATTCAGCAATGTTCAAGAGGAATACAGTGAAAAAGTAAACAAGGCTTGAATTTCTAGACTCTATCGTAGCCTCACCAGTGGCAAATGCGAGTTAAGTCCCCTCCATGTCCCTCCTATTTACCAATCAAATTTCCCCTCTCACAACATGTGCTTTAAATAAAATGGCGGCCACCAGTCAAGACGACCAGATTGATTATTAAAATATATGTTGTAATAAAACGGGTCTTACTTCGCGAAGTTCATCAAATTACGTGAACACATTGATTAAAAACATGGAAAGATTTGAAAAAAAATATCTGTTGACGCCGAGTTGGCGGTACACATGCTTTGCAAATCCTGCAGTCAACCGAAATCTTCACGGTATTTTACGAACCGGATGTCGATTTCGATTTTGATTTGACTATGCATGGACTCATTAGTCCAGCCAAAATATAACTCCATAATTCGAGGCCAGTTCGGCAAGGGTGAAAACTGGACTTTTACAGTTAGATAACTATCTTGCCTCCGTAAGATTGCTTTGTGTGGTACCCCGTCAACGTGGCACGATGTTCAAAATAACACTTCTGGTTTGTCTAGTCCTGAGTCGATGTTTTACAGGCCGTCGTAATATAGCTGGGGCGTTATATATAAAACAAACCAATCTATTCCGGATAACGTATCAGTTACACGATTGACAATGGGGTATCAAGCAGACTGGAACAGCGCCTTACGCCACAGCTGGTGACTCGTCATCACTCATCCTTTTCCATAACCTGCTAGAAAACGCAGGCCAATTTGCCACCACTAACCCCTTTCGGTAATCTGCAAGAAGGCGCGCCTCCATTAAAAACGCGCGCCCTTTTACGTAACGTATTCTCTATCTATCAGTGTTATGTGCGAAAACACAATAAATCAGTCAGAACGCGCGTATGGCTTTAAGTATTTTGGTAAGAAAATCCCTCCTTAATATTGTTTTGTTGATAGGTAAAGTTTGTATTTAAAAAATATACCTTAGTGACAATTGTTTCACCACACTGAATAAAAAATGGTTTTAAATGACACCCGTAAAAAACAAATATTCAACAAGTAATTTTAACACATATCCATGTAAACTTACATTGCAAAACATGTGTTTCTCTCGTGTTTGAACCTAAATGATGTTATGAGGTGGTTATTTTAATTTCGGTACTCGTTTGCTCAAAGAAGGAACCAAGGTGATGAAAAGGCCACGAGACAACTGAAGTCTCCAGTCGGCGAGTCCCGGACTGTCACGATTGGACAAGAGCGGTGTCCGTCGTGCGTTTTATGCTGCACTATTATCTGTGCAGGACATGCCGTGGTGAGATTCACGCTGTCATAATGCTGACTCCAGCACAAACACAACTCGGCTTCTCGCTGAATGTATTCGACCTATATAATCAAGTAGTGCACTAGGCTTGCATTTGCAAACGATATGTAGATTCACAATTATGATAAGCACTCGTTCACAAACAATGGTGGTTAGTGCTTAGGAGGCGAGTTTTTACTATGCGTTTAGATTTTGTTGTTGTTTTATAACCAAAATTATTTCAATGTTTATATTATTTGTTGTTCTCTCTACACTCTTCACGGGTAGCCAAGTGACCTAAGTAGTTCCTTTCAGAGTTAGCTCACTTAGCCATTCTGGGATCCGCTTGTTGTGAGTTCGAATCTGATATTTGTCCTGTTTATGATCCTCGGGATGTTACAAACATACCCGGGCTCGATGACTTCCCCAAAGAGAATAATGTGTACAACCTGCGTCACTTTGTGAGTTCCTTTCACATGATATCATTGGAATGCTGTTCAAAGTGGCGTCCAACCCAAGTCACTCTCTCAATACTTCCTACAAATGTATGTGTATGATTAATTCATTATTAACTTGTTGATTTATGTGTCTGTTGTAGGTGTTGACTGTTTGCAGACGATGGAAGAATCGGCCTTGACGTTGGGGGTGACGTCAAACTACACCAAATACGACAGCACAGAGACGCTCATCTCCGATGATGCGGGTAAAAACTACGGCGGCATGACTGCAGACCTTAGCAACAACCTGGGCTACCGGCTGCGCAGGCGGAAGGAAGTCCTCAGCCAGCGGAAGCTCATCGTTGACATCAGCTTTGTGCTTGGCGTGATGGGGATCGTTTTTGTGATAATAGACACAGAACTTATTTTCAATCAAGTGACCAGTGTGAACTCGGGTTTATCAACTGCATTGCGTGTGTTGACCTCAGCTACCACAGGAGCACTTCTCCTGGCAGTGGTGGCCTATCATGTTATAGGGCTCCGACTGCACATGGCCCGCGCGGGATTCTCCGACTGGAGGCTGGCCATGACGGGTACCAAATGGATTAAACTCATCTTCGAGCTGTTCGTGTGTATGATTCACCCACTGCCCTTCTTAGATATCCCAATACAGACTGTATCAGTCGCCGGGCAAGGGAATACTCTGAAGACGTCCACGATCCCAGTCAACGCAATTCTGACAATCCTCATGTTTCTCCGGCTTTACCTGTTCGGGCGTTTCATTGTTGTACACAGTAAACTCTTCCTGGATACTTCAGTGCAGAGTCTTGGCGCTCTAAGTCGCGTCAAGATCAACGCCCAGTTTGTGTTCCGTGCGCTCATGTCCACCATGCCGGGTGTCGTGCTGACCACGGTGATGTTTGGGATGTTCATCATCAATAGCTGGAACCTCCGTGTGTGTGAGATGTACACCAACCCCATGGAGGACGACCTTGCCAGCTTCCCGCAGGCCATGTGGCTAACAGCTGTCACCTTCCTTACCGTCGGCTATGGAGATCTCTTCCCCCACAGCTACTGTGGCCGCCTTATAGCGGGGTGGACCGGCCTCATGGGGGTCGGAATTATGGCACTCTCTGTTGCTGTCCTTGCCAAAAACTTAGAACAGTCTCGCTCAGAGAAGTATGTGCATACATTTGTACAGCAAATAGCGTTGGACAAAAAGCGTAAGCACGCGGCAGCGAACATTATTAAGCAGATGATCAGGATATACAAATTGAGGAAGGCAAAGCTGCCTGAACGGTCCTCGCAGGTGCTGCTCCATAGGACGAAGCTGTTGAAGGCAATCAGGGCCATGCATGAGGCACAGTTCGTGAAGATCCACCTGCAGGAGTGTACGGTGGGGCCGGTAGAACTGGCTACGGGGCTCAACGACATGCAGGCTTGCATCAAGTGTGTCCAAGAGGAGCAGAGGCATCTCGGGCAGAGGATCGCCACCATTGAAGCACTGTCCCTCAGCATGAGCGCGCAGGTTCTGGAGATCAAGGAGATCATAGCCAAAAAGAAGATATTCTAGGGGACGACGACAACGACTACGATTATGCGGGTGATGATAATGAATATGTCTAGGTGAATCATAAAATTTCCCTGACGACGGTGGTTTATGGAATTTCGATGATGGGGATGATGATGGTGTTAATATCAACGACGGTTATAGTGAGATTTCGAAGATGGTGATGACGATAGCTGTCATAACACTCCAACGAGGATGATGACGAGGACGAATATAGTGATTACTTTTTTTAAGAACGGCGATAACAGCGATCATAACATTCCAATGATGATGATGATGATGATGATGAAGGTGGTGAGATTCCTGGAATTCTTTCAGAAAAGACGACATAACCGGCCGGGTTGCTCTGCATAGTTATGAAACATGGTTGAGCATGTCATGGCGGGAGATTCCATGTGCCTGTGATTTAAGACAGAAGACATCCCAAGACTTAAAAACGAGTCGGACGAGTTAAAATGTTATATCCTTCCGCATCAGTGTTGTGTAATGATGCCAACACAGAGTTAATAGTCCGTTCGCTAGGAGACATAATCTTCTTTAATGAGTTTCAACATAAAATGCACTGGGTGTTTCGAATCAAGCACCTATTGGCACATTAGTTGCTGAAGCTATAACCATCGCCATTCACTTACCATTCATCCTCACAAAGGGAGTTTTTTTTAGAAATATTGATTTTTATAAATTGCTTCTGAAAAATAGGAAATTATTTTAAACGTGCGAACGCATTCATTTTTGTAATGTTATCCTTTAATGGCTTTGCATATTAAATGAAATAGCTTGGTTTTACAGGGGAGGAGGTGGCTGGATTATGGTTTGTCGGCACACACACAGTATGTACTCCCGATCAAACAAACTCCCATGAACCTTTTAGAAAAAAAACCTCGTTATAGCTGAAAATCAAGGGAAACCAAAGCATCAGCTGAGGGGTAAAAAATGCTTTGCTATTTTCAACAGTTCGTTATATCCAATGTTTAGCATTATATCGAGGTGGAATGCTTCAAAGAGATTCGGTAGGGCCGACATAGCGAGATAAAGGAGTGTGATATTTGAAAGTCGACTGTTTTTCAATTGGAAATAACCAAAGATGATATAGTATATCAAACACCTAGCATTCTCGACATAAAAGCTGATTATATTGCACTCAAATTAGTCGTGACGTCATGGGATGACGTCACTCAGTATTACCCTAATCGCGTGACAAGTATCCTGCAGCATTGCTTCATTACAGTCACATGACCTATATAACGTCAATCAATCTCAGGTTCGGACGGGATATGTCCACGCGAAGTAATATATCACCGCATGTAAATAATCTTTTGGCACATTTTTATTTCTTTGAATATGTATAGAATTATCACAAACACTATTTTGGTTCTTTTCAATACAATAATGCACAATAATTTCAAGTTCACCCCTACGGGTATGCTATTATACAGAGTACAGGTCCCAGGGCCCGGTTCCACAAAGCTATCTTAGCCCCAAGTCTGTTGTAATTCCCAAGTTCAACATAGCCTTACGTCACTCTGAGATCACTTTGTTTGACCAGTTTCACAAAGCGATCTTAGAATTACGATTGCCGTACGTCTCTGTTAACATGTGGGAGTTGCTGTCGTCATAGCGCTAAGATTGCTTTTGAGGAACGGCCCAGGTTTGTGTTGTATAATTTCTCCATTGTTGTGTACATGTATATTGATGAATAGACATTGTGCTTGTTGTCTCCGTGTAATCATATTTTGTACATTGTCAGATGTACAATTTTAAAATGCCTAGTTGTCTTTTAATGGAAAATTCTTTGTTACATTTAGGATATTATAGCATGCACTGCACAGTTTTCGAAATGACTTACACCAATGAAGCTTTAAAGTAAATTTGTTTCATCCAAATTCGCTTTCACGTGGTGATAATTATTACTAATACAGCCGTGGGATATGACATGGCCTCCGCATTACCGATAGTTCCGCAGTGGTTATGTAATTTGTTACTATTGAATTTTCAAAAATGTCTAAACGAAATGCATGTTTCATTAATTGGGAATAATAAATAGATCGAATATTGTGAAGCTAAACATGTTGTCGAATATAATATTCTGCGGTTTCAAAATTGATTTTTTTAAATTGATTTTTTATTTTAAGTTAAAGCAGGATCGTCAGATGCAATGTGAATAAGCCCGCAACGTGCCTCGATAGCCTCTCAGCTGTTTAGCAGCGTGTCGCCGCCCTAATCAATGCATACACAATATATGGGCCGCACGTCACATCAGAATATCAGCTGCGTCAATAGGCTAACTGTATGGAAAACATCCAAGTATCCGCTTGGTAATCATCTTAGCATTCCTTATCCGGAATCTGTACATAGATAGGGATGTTCGAGTTTTCCAGTGGAACTTCATTTGTCTCTACCATGTTGATGCGGAACTTCCACATTGAGAACGGCCATTGTTACAAGTTGTCCATGCTCCTCGTAATTATAGCCACGTATGTTCAGGAGAATCTGGACATGATATGAAAGAAGTTTGGCGGTATAAATTATAGTTATCAGTTGATAGTATGAAGTTGTAAGTTGTACGTTTACATCAACAAAGGATGCACACTTAGAGGCAGATAACTCTTGGTGGAAGTTTACCATAAATACTCGTTTGGTTGCTTAAGCCATGTATGTTCAGAATATATAGTGGATTGTCGCGTGGTATATTCACATATACCAGCAATCATTAGTTCGCGACTCGAGTGATTTCTCAATGCTCAGACAATTAATATTATATTTTCATCAATTTCCCATTGGTACGCTCACAGAGGAAAAATGTCAAAGCAACTTTCAGTATACATATTTATGGCCTGGGACAGGTACTTAATGACTGAAGGAAGTCTCTACTACATGAATGTACGGTACCTTTGATAAGCACTTTGATGTGAAAGCACTTCGGATCCTTGAAATGTTTCTTTTTTGTCATGACACAAACAACGAATTGAATTCAGAATAATTGTATTGCAAGTTTCTAATTTCTTTCTACCCGTACCGTGCTGTATGTAAGCTATTTATTAGAAAAAGAAAAACTTCATGAGAGGTCTCAGCCAGAAATTTTGCATCTCGAGTGCGCAGCTATTAACTTAGTGTGTTTGAACGGAAACTTTTGAGAGTCCAACATGTGTAAATGTCGATATTTCCTCATGACGTCACAGCAGTGTTTGCTTGGTTGTAACAAAGTGTAATATAGTTATATATCAACATTTATTTTACCAGAGTATATATTTTGACAAATGTTTTATTTACGAATAATGCAGAAATGTAAGAGATGTGTCGCACGAGCGACTACCATCAGAGTAGCGCGAGGGCTCCTCGTGTTCAACTTTTACTGAGTTTGGTACATGTCTACCTTAGTGTACTATGTTACAAATGTATATCTTGACTGTGAAGCTTGAATTCTGACTTCAACGTTGAGTCGAGAGCGTTATGACTGGAATCTGCTGTCGCCAAGCATGCCAATGTATGTTTAGTCCGATCGTTATGTCTGTGATATAATGCTTGTTACGTTCAGAGAAACTTGGAAAACAATCCGTGCGATGCGGTTCCGATTGTCTCACCGGACCTACTGACTCTGGACGGAAAATGTCGATCCAACGTCGGAGCTGTTCAAGTAGGAACGCTTAGTTCTGTTAAAGGTCGTTAAAAACCGACGATATATGAGACTAGCCGAATTTACAAAGTAGCTGACACCAGACGATTGAGTATCTTTGTTGAGGCAAATTTTGTTGAAGAAAATTCCTGGACGGGGTTCAAAATTGACATTTGCCTGATTTTATACGGTTTGAAACCATATGACATTGAGTGAATATTTATTAACCAAGATGGGAAGACAATGATAGAAGCCATTTGTTGTCTTCAAATTAAAAACATAAATTCCCTTTTCACATGAGATTGGGAATGTCCGGCATGAAGCTACGCCACACAGAGCGGAAATCTCGTGGTATTCTGGTGAACGGTAAACTTCGGTTGCTCTCGATAATCCTCGGCTTGAAATGGTCTGATTTTTGTACATACAATTTTGATGTGATATGCTTGAGAAATGGCTCTAATTCCTCATAGAGAAAAGTTCCTGCGATACCTCTATTAAATGGCAAATAGACGGCAGGTGTCACAGTTTGTTTAACTTCCGGTTACACGACCTTCGGCCACAAGGTTGTTATTGCATTTTCTTGAGCAGACTATTTTCCTTTTAGTTAGCAAACAGTTGAAGCGACGGGTGATATCTAGGCAGAATGGATAGATACTCTCTAGTCGTGGGCTGTACTTTCTACTTTAAGATTAAAAACTTTGTCACTGGGTGTTTTTTTTACAGTGATGTATTCATGAACCCGCCCCCCATTGTCTTTCAAGGTCATCGGCCTGGGTGTCCCGCTCATCCTATATATGTTGGGAAATTATAGAATTATTATGTATTGATTTTGCCAGTGTCATATCCTAGTCCAGATGTGTTTTCACAAATCTGTTGTAAAAATCTGCCGGTCTGCTAGTCAGAGTTTAGAACACTTGGGCGCTAACTTTTGATATATTTGACATTCGTCTCATCTCAAGCTCACAGTTTATCACTGCCAACTTTGAGAGGACTCCATAATTATTCTGTCACGTGACTATCACATTGCAAAATATAACCGTAGATGTGTTTTATTAAATGTTCCTTAGTATTTGAAATTGAACTTAATTCAATAACTTGCTTTCAAATTGACAGTCATGTTGCACGAACTTAGTGCGGAGGCATTTAGTCGTTCATTACATTTACAGATGAAGTATCACTACTCAAAGGCACCCGAGGTATCATGTTACAAAAACAAAAACAAAAACAAGTTTGACTAATGACATAGAACTAGATGTGGTCGCAAAAACACGAATGGAATAATTTAATCTCTGATACCACAACTACTGGTATTGATGACAATGATGGTGATAATCATTACTATAATAATGATAATACTAATGATACAAACAAGGAACATAACACATGTTTGCCTTTTTTGTGGTATACACAGTGTAGTAGTAGCATAAACACTGATGTTCACAACATGGCGTTTGTATTAGAAACCCACCTGCAATTGACCTAGCTGGGTCGGCGATCTTCATTTGGAAAGCACCCACTCTGTAAGCTCTATATATGTGAATGCAATGAACGGTAGACGCTAGACGGTGACTAGACGAAGGTTGTGGTAGACCCCGTCTACCCCGACACAGCCCACGACTTGACAGTGCACCATGATACACTATTCTATAGTTCATGTTTATCCCATAGTTTATGAATAAAAGCACAGAATGAACAAAATGCTGGTTATGTCATCATTGTTATTTTCCCTTTTCGCCTCTATAGTTATATTCCCGCGCATTATAAATCTTCATTATACTTCAGTTTTAAAGGATCACCGATGTTGTTTTTCAAAGGACGGAAAATGTGCTAGACCCAATACGCCGGCCTCAGGTATATGCCCTGGTCGTACCATATGGTGTGATCTATATTGTATTTGAAATGACAACGGAACTACTGGTAAGTTGCACTAAAACCTCAAGCCACACCTTCACCACTTGTATTCTCCACATGTTTCAATACCGACCAACTCGACTTCCTCCATGGTCAGTGGCATCTTCCAGGGGCAAGAGAGTTAACTGACTACAAAAGTCCAGTTTCCACATTTGCCGAACTAGGATGGTATTATGGAGTTAGATTTTGGCTGGACTAACGAGTCCATGCATAGTCCAATCAAAATAGCGCAACGAAATCAAAATCCGAGTTCAGAGTTCGGTCGATTGTATATTTGCAAAGCATATGCACCGCCAACTCGTTGTCAACAGATATTTTCCGAAATCTTTTCATGTTTTTTCAAGGTGCTCAAGTGATTTGATGCATTTTGCGAAGTAAGAACCGTTTTATCACAATATAGATCTTGGTTGTCGATCAGATTGTCTTGACTTGTCGCCGCCATTTTGTTTGAAGCAAATGCAAGTGATACAAGAGGTGGGATCTGATTGGTCCATAGGCGAGGCATAGAAAGGGCATAACTCGTAACATCCACTGGTGGAGCTACGATCGAACCCAGAAATTTCAGCCTTGTTCGGCAAGGTAGGCCAGTAGAAATGGTCGAAAACCCGGACATTTTATGGAACAACCAAATTTTCTGTTTTTCTGTTTCCTTAACGTATAGTCATGGTACACACAAAACCCAGACAAATTCAGACTTGAGGACAATTTTCTACAGCCATTTGAAAATAGGCTTATCACACCTATACTTGTGCCTGTATTCGGCCAAATTGCAACAAATGTGATATCATATCACAATGTTACACAAATCTTAATGCACTCATTAAAGCTTACAAAGATCAACAATGTAATAATTTAGATTTACATGTCTTTATGAATAGTTTTTATGATAATTTTAATAATTATGTCTGTTAATCTTAAAAATATATCAATAACTTTTGAATCCCCTGAATTCTTTCACTATCTAAACAAACTGGATATAATTATGGTTTAATTTTTTTTATTATTATAACTATTATTGTTATTATTATCTAATAATTTACATATCATTTTAGTTTAGAAAAAGGATAACAACAACAGATTTTTGGCAGTTTTTAAGTTTAATGAAACGCACATAAAAAGACAAACTTCATTGCTTTCCATATACAATGTTTGAGTGTGCTATATGAACTGGAACTATGAATATTATTGAAATTATTAGAAGTCTTATATGTATGTAGATACATTTCTAAAAATCACATTTATGCATGACTCATTACAATGTGACATGCTATTTCCCTCATACTTCTTTCATACTATCATACATTGTATTTATGAATTTGTAAGGGACATACATACATACATTTGCAGTGGATGCTGCATTGAATCCCCCTTTTAACACAACTACAGGATGTGCAGAGTCTGTCAGATGATTTACAAGAACACTTTATTTCCTTCAAGAGTTCTGGAGGGGCTGGAGGCATGTCTGTTATAATTGGGACTATACTCCCTTCAACTGATTTGAAGCCATGTGTCTCTTTGTCCTAAACAGTTTTAAGAGATTTCCATGTTGACACTTGCAGATGAACCCTTAGACAATGAAAATAACATGCCCGGCTTGTTAGAGGCCGGCTCTCTACACTTGTGAACTCATCAAGTTTCTCGTTTTGTTTCCCACCATAGAGTCAGTCCACAGACATACTGTTCTCCAACTTCTTTGAGAGGAACAGATGAATCTCCAAAAACTGTGACTTTCTTGTGTTATTGCTTTGCGGAAGTGAAATAATCCAGATGTTTAGATTTACTAAAGCCGAAGAAGGAAGATGTTGTATCACAACCTGATACTGCATGAAGGAAAGGAAGATTGTGACACAACTGTTCTCCTAGGCAACGTCTTGCTTCTTTATTGACATAGTTCTTGATCTTGTCTTCATGTAAACATTGCTCTGGGAATCCACATGATGTATCAGAAGGACGAACATGTCAGTATCATCAGAAATGACATGGACTGGTTCATGTTTCCCTGCCAACTCCACAGCTCTGTGAACAATAACAACGCCAGCGTCCCCTTCATCCTCTGCATGACTTACTAACACACGTGAGTTCTCTTTTATGTATGATGAAAGGAGATTAATTGTTTGTTGTTTGTTTTCTTGTTGGCAAGAAAACTTGCTGCATCACTTGGAACTGGAGTATTTGACTGCAGCATGACATCAGACCTTGCAGTTCTTGAGAGCTTTTTGCGCTTCTGTTCTTGATCTTTTGTTGTTGTTACATCATAACTGTTGAACACAACAATTACCTCATGATTCGTAGATGACCTGTGATGAATCGTTGAGAGGAATATTTCACAGACGTCAAATATTGTCCCAACCTTTGGCCATTTCAACTGTTGAAGTAATGCACATCCATCAAAGACTGTTGATACAGATGGAACATCAGTTTCAACATTTGAAGTCATCTTCATTATGCATTTGGCGAGTTGTGATTTCGTTGATTTTTACATGCTACCATCATCATGGAACAAGGCAGGTGCCACAGATGAAAGTTCGTGGCTGAACACAGATGGGGATGGTGGTCCTATCGTGGAGGCAATAGCTAAAAGTCGCTGATACAACTCAAGTTTTTCTCCACTTGTTAGTGTTACTGCACGTTTCATGATGTCAAATTTCACCACTTGTTGACTTTTCTCCATTGAAACATCTCCAAAAACATGGTTTGTAATTAGAGATTGTTTTGACTGTTCTGTCAAAATTGACTCTGTCATCAGCAATAACACAAGTAGCAATGTTACGAAGTTCAGACTGGACTCCAGTAAATGGATTGTGACTTCGTAGGAACTCTAAGAATTTGTTCATATCAATGTAGTCTTGATTCATTCTTACTGGATTTAGTTCTCGATGGTGATCACTCAATGAATTTGATGTTGCATTCGTCAACATTCTCAACTCATCTGTGTACTGTGCAACAATGTGTGCTGAAAGAAGCCATCTTGTCCGTGCACTGTCTTTGTGCACTGTCTTTGTGAGACCGGCTGATGTCTTCCCTGACTTCATGAGAGATTATTCTATCACCATATAAGACCAAGTGCAACTCAAGAAAAACTTTTGACTCCGATGAATTGTAAAGATGCCACCACCCTCTAGTGATTTGTGAAGACAGGGGCATGGATTTACAAAATCTTGAATGTACAGACAACAAAACTTGGTATTTGTCGCAGCAAACCAGGGAAGCATTTCTTGTGAAGCTTTTTAATTGCAGGAGCCAATCACCTGTTCTTTCAGCTCTAATGAACTTACACATTGTTGAGACAAACTCCATGAATTCAATCCAGAATTTTGATGTCCTTGAATGTAGATGTTTTGCTTTTTCTTTGTCAGCTTTGTCCACAATGTTATCCGCTGTTTCTTCAAAGTCATCAAATTGAATTTCACGACTTGAAACATCTTTAGCAATCTGTTCAAAATATGACAAAGAACCACTACCCACAGAATCATTTTCATCTTAACGATTGTCACCATCTTCATCCATGACATCTTCCTGAGGCTGTTCAAAGAGAAGAATATGTAGTGCTGTGCAAGTCAAAAGACATGCTCTTACAGTTTTGTGGTAAGACTTTCCTTCAAACAGTTTTGAAATTGAGTTCTTTGCATTAACACATGACCATAGTTCTTCTAATCCAGTATATTGCATTGACTTACATCCAGATCCAAGAAAGGACATCAGCTGATAAAATCCTCCAAGGCGAAGCTGTATGTGTTCGAAATCGTGAGGATTTTCTGTTTTGATTTGGTAAGCTTTAAAAGTAGAGTGGTTGTTCAAACGTGAGAAGTGCACAACACTGTCCAGTCTTCTGAGGCTGCTTATCTACAAACATCATTGTTGAATAGACTGCTTCGGTTGTCTGCGGATTGAGGGGTGTCATTGGATGATAAAGTATTTTTGACTGCATATACTCCCAATGTGTCACATCAGACATGAACCCTTGCCATCCTGGGGGTAATTTGTGATCTTAAAATGGAGAGCATCCACACTGTGTCTTGGAAGAAGAATTGCTTCAGTTTTGGAACTATTACTTCGACCACCGGATTAAATTTGACCTTTGCTATGGCGTTTGTATGATGATTTCTGTAGGGTTGTGTGTTGCTGAAATCACCAGCAGCAAAAATGTTGTTTTGTCTACTCACTGACAGTTTCTGTGTTGATGCAGGTGTCTGACATGCAATAATATCCCATGCCGTGTGCTATTGTGGCCACTTATTGTGCCCTCGTTGTAATTAAAAGTATCAGCTATCCACTGACAAAAACCTTCTGTGCAATCTTCATTGACACAAATGCCTGGGTGAAGGTCATCAATGTTTTTACTTGTAACAGCAGATGATCAAAATCCAAAATAGTGTCATATGACACTGTCATTCCTAAGGCTGAAAGGAGATTGAGTACAAGTTTTGACCTTGTAGTCTGGTGGATGAATAAACCAGTAGAGAACAGCAATGGAGACTGGTATGGATTTGGGACAACAACATTCATCAAGATATGACATAGACATATCATCTGCAGTGTACCGAAGATGTTGAAGATAATTCTAAAAGACTCCTCGTGAAAACCAGTAGAGCTTCAGGAACTTGACTCTCTAAAGCATTGATGTTTAATTCATCTGGCGAAGGAAAGTGTTCAGTGTCCAATTTGATGTCAGATAAAAGATTCCTGAGCTTTTTCCCCAATTGGCGTGACTCGGCAATCAATTCATCACCATCCTCCTGGTCATCAGTACAAAAGGCTTGGTGTTAAATCTCTGAAGCTGTATGTCT